GAGAGAGAGAGAGAGAGAGAGAGAGAGAGAGAGAGAGAGAGAGAGAGCCCAAGGCTGAAAGACTCAGACAACCTCCAACCCCTTTCATCAAACAGCTCCCACCGGCCCAATGAAGGTATCACGCTCTATTTTGGAGTTACTCGGTGGGTGTCGGCTTTCACGCATTCTTTGGGTGTCGAGTTGGATCACTTTCATAAGATAGCTGAGTCTGTTTCAGTACCAATGTCTGTTAAAGACATGTTGTATGTTGCTTGTTTTCTACACTAAACTAAGCATTTTTACTGATGTTACACTGTGACTTGTGTGCTAGCATGTCAGTATTTTCATTCCTAACAGCAGCACGTTCTCCACGTTTTTTCTCTCCCTCACAGTTTAACAACATCACCCGGTGAGAAGACCTTTGAAGTCAAAATTGTGGCTCCAGTGGAGGAGTTCACCCGCATCTGGATCCAGGTCCTGGATCGCCATGATGGCTCCTTCCTGGTTCGCTACAGAATGTATGCCACCTACACGGACCTCCACATCCACGTTCTGCTCAAGAGCAAACATGTGGCCGGGTCACCGTTCGTTCTCAAAGGTGGAACACAATCCATGTTTCCTACAACACGTTTGTTTGGATGAGATCTGTGGTTTTTTTTTTTCTTAATGATGCTTCTGTGTTTTTCCTCTGCAGGCCCAGTCTACCATGAGGGCTGTGACTGTCCCCAGCCCAGTGGTTCTGAATGGGAGGCCCACATGCACTGTCCTCAGTCCTTCCCTCAGATAGACAGGGACCTGGCCATCTACTCTGGTGTTGACCCAGATGTTAATGCGCAGGAGATCCCACGGCGCTTTGGACAGAGACAGAGCCTCTGCCACTACACTGTTAAAGACAACCGGGTACCTCACACTTCAGAAACACCAAACACAGAAGAAATAAGATAAACAACCAATATCAGCCTGGTGTAACAGCTAACTGATGAATTAGTCCAACTGTAACTTTAATGTGCAGGTCATTTTACAGAAGAATCCCCAGTTCCTTTTACAAATAACCATCAGACCCAAAGGGCAGTTTAGTAATAAAGGGTAGAATTTATTTAGGCTGGAAAGTAAGTAGGGCCGTGTGATAATGTAAAGGGGCCCAGGAGAGCCTGCAGCTATGTGACACACCTGTAAGTCTGTCTACCAGGTGTTCAAGGGTACAATCTTCATTCCACTGTGGAGGTCAGCCCAGGCTCCTGTAATGGTGATACGTCTAAAGCTTCGTTCCCACAGTGCTAGCGTTACCTGGGAACTTCCGGTAATTTATCAGTTGGAAACACTCGTCTGACAATACAATCCCAATTCAGGTCCACTTATTATTGGCTTTCCAGAGCTTTTGACCATAATCCATGGTCTTCATCAGCGGATGGAGTTTGCAGCTAAGCATAAAGATGATTTGCTGGAAACTCCGGTGACGTTTTTTTGCTGATTTGGCTTTTTTTTTTTTATTCTCTTAGGTCTACGTTAGAACCTTTGGAGAGCATGTGGGTTTCAGAATCTTTATGGATGCGATCCTCTTGTCACTCACCAGAAAGGTAAGCTCTTCCTAAACTGTCTTTAAACCTGTCTAACACTGAAACATTTGAACAATTTTAATCTTTTCATGTTTTATTTGTCCCTTGTTTTCCGTTGTGTTGTACGTTCAGGTGCGGCTCCCTGACATGGAGTTCTTTGTTAACCTGGGTGACTGGCCGTTGGAGAAGAGGAAACCCACTGAGAAGATCCATCCCATATTTTCCTGGTGTGGCTCCAACAACACCAGGGATATTGTCATGCCCACCTATGACCTGACTGAGTCTGTCCTTGAGACCATGGGGAGGTGAGGCTGGGCATCCATAGCACAAACACCGTATGCAACTTTGGATTAAGCTGAAAGAGTTGTCGTTAGTCTACAACTCTACCAATAATACCTGGGAACCCTTAAAGGAACACTCCACTGAAAATGTTATCGTCTGAGTATAAACTACTCACTTCCTGGTGGCTCTGAAAAGTGGAAGACGGGAGTCATAGCCGGCTTGAACACATTGCCGTCCAGTAGTTACAATATGCTCTTCTTCCCTAAGCAGATGACAGTGGGGGAGAAGTAGGCTTGTGTACACAGACTGTGACGCTGTCACAGTGCGGACTGAATAATGTGGAACCAAAATAGACCTGTGCCAGGATGCTCATTATTTCCTCAGCGTTGCTACGTGCATTTCTGTGCAGCGCAAGACGGCCAATTGGTGTTTGACAGCAGAAGACAATTTGCTAACAAATATTTTATATTTCGCATCTAGATTGAGCAAGCAGAACAGCTCTCCATATCAGGCATGCATAGGATGTTTTTACCCTGCAGAAAAGATAAAGCAAAGTACCTGCACCAGGGTTCAAATAGTTTATAGACACTGAGGCAAAGCTGACAGTGTGAAGAGAGACCATTACATAGGTAAAGTAACAAGATGACGTTAGTTGTATATGCATGACAGTGAGGTTCTTTATTTAATATCTGCTTTTTAATTATCCGATGAACAGAGTGAGTCTGGACATGATGTCGGTGCAGGCCAACACCGGGCCACCCTGGCCGGGGAAGAATGCCACGGCCTTCTGGAGGGGCCGGGACAGTCGACAGGAACGCCTGGAGCTGGTCAAGCTCTCCAGGGCTCACCCCGCCATGATAGATGCTGCCTTCACCAACTTCTTCTTCTTCAAGCATGACGAGAGCCTCTACGGGCCGCTGGTCAAACACGTGTCTTTCTTTGACTTTTTCAAGGTGAGAGTGCATTTACAGTGCCACTGGCACTACTAAGAAGTTTTTGTTTTTTAGAAGCTGATTTTTGAAGATGGTCCTTTTCATTTTTTATTTCTGTCCCATTTCCACCGCCAGTACAAGTACCAAATAAACATTGACGGCACTGTTGCGGCGTATCGACTGCCGTACCTCCTGGCGGGAGACAGTTTGGTCCTTAAGCAGGATTCTGGCTACTACGAGCATTTCTA